GGGGGGGCGGGGGGGGATCTGCGTCTGCGGCCCCAAACCAGGTTGGGGCTTCGTAGGTTGCCACGAGGCACCTGACACCACGCATTTTAACTCGCTGTGGGAATGCGGTGGGTGGGGGGGCAAAACATAAAAACGGAACTGGGTTTTAAAAAGCCAGGGACACGCAGGCTGCAGTTTAAAGGGACGGTGTCTGATTTGGATAGAAAGGGTACCACGCACGCACGCAGTCGGCATATTCTGAAGGGAGCCTAAAAGGCACTTTGGAATGAGGAGGAGGAGATGAAGGTGGGGTCAAGGCTGCACGCTTCAGCAGAGGAAGGCGCGATCCCGGCCTGCAGGCTTGATGGGGAATCAGAGATGACAAAGCGGGCAGCCATGAGCCAGGCAGACCTTAATCTCTGTAATGGTCTACCTCCCCATACAAACTAGTGGACAACTTTTCTGGAAAATAAGGGATGGGGAGAATTGGAGTTTTTTTTTGTGAGGGGGGGGGGGCTAGCCTTCGAGCCAATTTCCGATTGCCCTCGTTAGCGGCTAATGGGAGACCTGCTCTGAATGGAGCGGCGGATCCAGTCGTTAATTACTGCCAAAAGCAATGTAAGACGCTATCGATAATCCGCCGGTGGTGACAGGGAGGCGCGGCGGATCGTAATAGCGGACGGTAAACACGAGGGGGGGGATGAAGATGTATGTCCGCCTATGATCCACAAAACGGCCGGGACCAGACTCACTCCCCCTCTGTCCGCCCCTCCTTTCTGCTCTAAGCATTACATCCCTAATTAAACAACAGCGATAAAACGCTTTATTAGCCAGTGAGCGAGGGTGGCCCTGGAGGGGTATTCGGAGTGCCCGTTGCCCCGAACGACGCCCGTACAGCGCCCCCCGGTGAACTGACAGTGACGTGTGCACCGAGTCTTATGCATGGTCGCTTAATTAAAGCTGCGCTCTGTAACCCCTTCTGCCTCTTTGTTTTCCGCTGTGCGCTGCTGCTTCTCTTGTGTGTGGCCTCTTGTGTTAACTCATACTGCATTGGCGTGACAAGAATCAACCCCCAGACTAAGGTGGTATTTGACCGCCTTTCCCCAAGTCCGCAGCCTCTGCTCAAACCCCACTGATGGGCACTTGGATGAGTCCAGGACTCTGAATCTCACGCTGCAGCCTCACGCCATTAACCGCCGTTAGACTGTAATCAGCCGGAATCTTCAGAGCTTTGCGAGTGTTTGCGCTGAACAAACGTTGTTACAGTACAGGAGGAAAAAGGAAAAACAATTCCCTTAGAATATATCCCATCTGACTGCACATGAAATCTAAATCCGTACGAATCCTTTTTGGGATGGAATTTGTAGTTTTGTCCCCGCATAAAAGTGTAACTGAATTTGATCATATTTAAGACCTTCACTGAGATTTTTGGAGAAGTTACGATTGCCGCCAGAACTACATATTTCTAAAAGCCTAGAATCCCACTAAACTCTAGCACAGATAACATAATATTTCCTGAACATTCCAAAGTTAGCTATAGTGCCGCGGGTATCCAGTTCATACACGACAGCAGCGTCCCTTTAATCCTTAAAGTCCTTTTGCGGAAAGA